AAAATGGGGGAATTTAACATAGTATGTGTTCCTAAGGTTGCACCCCAGCTGCAGTTTAATCCAAATGAAACGTGTAGCACTTTAAACACCGTCAGCTTTTATTCGGTGGACGCTTTTTTGGGACTTTCGACCACTTTATTTGTTTGCTTTATTTGCATGCCATCAGACGACCCTTCTTTGGATGCATGAATGGGGCTAAAGCGCAGGAAAGTAGGGAACCAAAATGCCAACCTCTTGCTGCGCAGCCAGTTCCTTAAACCATTGAGCATCCAGCCAAACAAATAAGAAAATGGCTTTATTAGACCATGAAAAAGATCAACAATAGGTGGCATTTCAAGTATTGCAGAATTGTTATTCTGTGTTACAGTGTGTGTTTGTTGTGAGGAAGAAACCCAAAAGTCAATAGATCATGCCAGTCAACTGTTAAGACGTCAGGATTTAAAAAACAATTGTGTCCGTAACATTTGGCCAGGATGATTTCTGGACTTTTTTGTTTCTCCTACTCCGAACTTTGCATCACGCAGTTTGAAGAAGAGTTGTGCAGAACTCAAAAGCTTGTTTGCTTTTTATATTATAGTGGTCTAAAAGAGGCATTAAAACCTATGTGACTCCACCCCACCCTCATTTTATCACATGATCAATTTCCGCACATGTTAAATGCTCACGCTTGTTTTGCGGGGTTTATGAATTGTCCTTGAATGGGTTAGGGTGGTTTTGTGTTTTTTTCTCAGCTATCCCTAGCTAACTTCCTAAACACAGAATCAGCATGGATCCTACTATCTTGTCAGTACAGCGTCACAGTTTTGGAAATTACTGTAATCTGACTGAAAACAATGTGATCCTAGAGATGGGGTATTCATATTCATATATGAATATCCCCGCACATGTGGAAATAACGAGGGTCCACGCATGATTTCACCACTGACGCGAGCTCTTCAGACCTTCCTATCGCACCGTTGTCCGCAATGGATTACCCAGTCCTAGCAGGAGGCGGGATGACAAGCTTCTCTGCTAGGATGGAGAGTGACTAATCCATTGCAGAGAACAGCACGATAGGAAGCCTCTGTGGAGCTGGTGGCAGTGGCGAAATGGTGAATGGACAGTATGACTTTTCTTCTCTGTGTTTTTGTGTTGTTCCAACACAAACCAAAGAAATGAATACAGTGGTGCCTCGCTTAACGAGCGCACCGCATAACGATGAAATCGCATAGCGATCCGTTTTTTCGGATCGCTAATGCGATCGGTTAACGTTTTTAAAATAGGGCTAAATTCGCTTTGCGAAGACCGGTAAGCATTTCACTTACCGATCTTCGCAAAACGAAGCCCGACGATCAGCTGTTTGGTGGCCAAAATGGCCGCCGGAAGCCCGGAAATGGCCCAAAATGGACGCGCACAGCGTTTTCGTGCCCTCGTTAAGCGAGGGGAGGGCGCGAAAATGGCTGCCGGCCATTA